GTATTTCCTCAGCGACCAGCACAGATCAGCTCCAGACATGACTAAGCGGATATCGTCCTCTTTTGGAAGACCAAACAAAGTAGTTTCGCTTTCACAACGAAGCACACAGCGTCTTCACGACATGGCTGCAGCGTCAACAATACTACAGTGAGAATAAAAGTTATGCCTTCGTTCTTTGCGTGAACATTTGGGCGGCGTTATGCAAATCTTCCCAGATCGTGACGTAGGTATGTGGGGGTGTGTTAGAACGAGCCGTTTTAGGTAGGCGTGGTTAACTCTTAACTTTTATAAAGAATATCTCTTTGGTTTTGAGACTTTAGTGTTTGCAACTTTACAGATCTTCTTTATGCACCAAGAGCTTGAAAACACTTTAAAAAAATTTAAATCGCATCATATGACCCCTTTAATTTCCTGCCATTCTGGAGCAAAATAATGTGCCCCGTGAGGATCAGCTTCAGCTAATATTGTTAAGAGCTTCATGTTTTGTTTTTTTTTTGAAGATATTTTTTCAAAAGCTGTATGATCAGACATAGAAATGAAAGTACTTTTAAACTTTTGAAAGTCAAATTGTTACCTTCACTTTTCCTCTAACCCTTTTTATGTGCGTTTTTCTGTCTTTCACCAGGTTACCTTTATGTAACATGTCTCATACAAAATTGCTCTGATAAAATGGTGACAGCACAGTTCTTGGGAAAGATTGACCACAATTCCCTCTCAGTGCAAGATGAATACATATTTGTGAAGGTAAAATGATGTTACATATCTTTACATATGATGTATGTACACATTTATTCGGACAGATCCATTCACACATCAGAGAGTACAGTAGATTATCCCCTTATATACAGTATTTAATATTATATATCATATACACACTACCACAATATACACTAACATCAAAAAATTCAAGGTCGGTAAGATTTTTTTGAATGTTGTCCCTTATGCTCACCAAAGCTGCATTAATTATCAGAAATGGAGTAAAAATAGTAATATTGTGAAATATTATTACAATTTTAATATATTGTAAAATACTCCAGTCCAGTCTTCAGTGTCACATGATTCATTCTGATATGCTGATTTGGTGCTCAAGAAACATTTCTTAT